ACTAGATAAAAATATATTCAAATAACTAAGATTAATAATTACCTAGTGAGAAACATTCACTCTTTTTTAATAAAAAAAAGCAAATTAAAATTTTTAAAAATGATAACTAATTTACCTTAATAGTTGGTTTTGTGCTTATGTTTAATCCTAACTTTTAATATTCATCTGAATAATCTTGAAATTTCTTTGGATCATAACATTCTGGAGCTTAGAATAGCAAGTTTCCTAACTGTAAAATTAAGAATTATTTCAGAAAGTAGACTTTATATTAGTAATATAAAGTATTACATATTGGTTCATTCCGTATCCAGATGTTTTAGTGAGACTATCTGCCAATCCTAAATCAGCTATAATTATTTGGTTTATTAATTAGTTAGTTAATAATTGAGAGTAGATAAATAAATCTTTTTGCATTTTATATGTAAAAACTTACAAACTACAGCATTTCCATTATAATCAATTAGTATATTATCCATTTTAAGATCATTGGAAATACACTTCTAGGAATGAATGTGCAAAAGACCTTCAGCAATATCTTTAGCATACTTGATTGCAGATAATTCATTTAGTTTTTCGTTTGGACTCTTTTTAATAAGTTCGCTTAGAGTTCCTTTTTAAATACATTTTTTTTAGCAATCTCATAAACTATTAATGCTTTTTACCTTAACACTCACTCAAAACTAAGTAAATAAACTCCTTTCCTTCAATTTTCTTTAACAAGTTGACAACATATGTAGAACCTTTACACTTTTCGAGCATATTTATTTCTTGTTATGCTTAGTCAAATGTTTCTTAAAAGATTTTCCCCTAAGAATCTTTGACATGAAGTCCTTTGATTGCAAATCTTCTGTTTGTGGATAACTCTTTTGCTAAAAAGACCAAGCCTTGCTTTCCCTGTCCTATGTACTTAAAATCAGAGAATCCTTTCTCAGATAATTCAGCCTTGATGATATTATAAACCAAACTTTAAGTAGGGTCAAGCTATGGTTCTTAGATATCTGAAACTTTTGTTAATAGTTAAAATAATCATAATTAAAGATATGCGAGCCTATTTAGTAAACTTTTTATCAAAGCAGCCATAAATTTCAATTAAAATAGAATTAAATTCAAAAATTATTAAGATAAGTGATGCGAAAAATATATACTCATCTGTTCTGGCTTATCTAGCATCTGAATACCTTTGTCTTTATACATTTGCTTGATCTTCAACCTATTTTAAATATGAGAAACTAATTTCGTTTAAACGATGTCTGATTCTTATGGGTTTTGTTATTGTAGCATTCCAAAACCTTGAGGTGATCCTTATGGCTATTAGATCTAATATTGCGATTGTTGCTATTGCATCCTTAACTGATTTGAACCCTAATTGCTTGAGCTATTATTATTCATTTTCCTATTTTTGAAAGTCTACTTACTTTTCTTACCTATTTATTAATTAACTTTTTGATAAACTAATTAGTTTGATTTATTAATTATTATAAGCAATAATCAAATTTCTTTAGTTTTTATAATAGCTCTTTCTTTAAATTCGTATTGATTTGAAATTAGAATATTTAATCCAATTTCCTCAAAGATATTCTTAACAAAGAATAATGTGAAGAACAATAATTTCTATTAAGAGACTAATTAGATACATAAAAATTAAATTCTTTCTTTGT